TTTGGATTGTTGAATTACCACAATAAGATTATGGTAGGAAAAAAAATCATGGCAAATATTCTTGATTCAAGCCAAGAGCCTTGGGTTCCATTTTGATATATGGACTTGAAAAAATTTAGATGTAACAGTTTAGATTTGAATTTAAGAGTCTTATCATGACCGATTATGATAGATTTTAAATAACACTGTAAAAGTAATTATGGACTACAGTCATGCAAAGGTCATAACAAAATAGTTCTCATCTTACTCTACTCTATTTTCTTCTTTAATTTCTGAATCAATCCATATGATAGTTAACTCCCATATATTTTTATAAAGTTTAATCTCAAATTTATTCATGGGAGAATTATTTGGCAGTGGGGTAAAGAAAAAATTACAAAAACATGGGAATGTAAGTGAATTTGTGGTGGGGTATAAGTGAAAAACTGTGTGGGTGCAAGTCTCACTTGCACCCCTCCATGTTTGTGTATTTTTTTTTTCTCTGTCCAACTGTTTAGTAATTCTCCCTTTATTCATTTAATGTGTCATATAAAAAGTGAGAAATAAAGAGAAATGTAAAGGTAGTAAAAAAAAATACATAAGTGAAATATGGGATAATTGAAACTAAACCAATCTATATAGTGTTTTACATATACATAAAGATACAAATGACTTGCATAATATGGGATAATTGAAATTTCACAAGGAAAAGACAATTTCATATTGTATTTGTATATTAGATTTATGAAGAGAAAAAAAAGAGAAGAAAAAGAATATGATAAAAGAAAATGAAGCAGAAGGTAAATTGTTTTTCACTTTTTTGGTTGGATCAATAGAATGAAAAGAAATAAATATATATTTCTCAAAAATAAACTTCATTTTCTTGTTTTAAATACCTATAAATAAATTTTAAAAAAAAGTATGTATAAGTAATCTTATTTCACCTGCATTTGCTTTCTTTTGACAAATTCAGGATCCAAAAATGATAATAGTAATAAATTCTCAGAGTGCTCAAAATGTCAATGAAAATTTTGGATGAATACTATAACGTGAATGAAATTTTAAAATGCTACCTAACGGTAAGAACAATGTTATATAAATTACTAAATTTTAAATTTTGTTTTTTATTCACATGAGTGGTCCTTCTTGTATTATTTTAGCAAGTCTATTTTATTATTGTCTATCACATTTCATAAATTCTTAATTTGTATAATGTTTTTAAAGATGTAATAAAGGAGAAGGGACATTCTTCATCAATAGAGAATATGGTGTTAGAAGAGGGAGGGTCTAGCATTATTATGATTCCTTTTCAGCTTCAATGAGAAAGCAACCTTTTGGCACCAAAGAAAACCATGTCTCCTTTACAGTAGGGTCATCTACAAGACTGTCTTCATTATGGAGGATCCAAAATCTTTTATATATATTTATAAATAAAAAGTTCAACAGCTTATATATGTCTTCATCTATCTTGGTTGTAAAAAGTGAGGATCATAAATGATGTCCTCACTACAGTTAACATGACCTCAAACCAGCTTGAGGTTGAAATATTTGAAGTACCACTACATACAGCAGCTCTACAATTAGGTTTGCAATCTAGTGCATGAGATTTTTATTAAAAAAAAAAATTAAAAAAAAAAAAAAAAAAACCTTCACATGTTTATTGCAATTTTAAGGGTAAATTACAAACACAATCCCTGAAATTTACTTAAATTATAAATTACTCCAGTGGTTTTAAAAATTACATTATGTCCCTAAAGTTTTTAATTTAATAACAAATAGGTCATTTTATTAATAAATTATCAAGTTAATTAACAGTTTTTAATAATGTTAAAATTTTATTTCAATTAATAATTCAGATAATTTTATTACTGTATAAATAAACAGTTAGAAATTTCACTTTTCAATTAATTCTGTTAAATAAAAAATTCTGACAGGAAAGTATTTGTAATTTTTTAAACTAGATGGGGCAATTCGTATTTTAAACAAACCCCAGGGAATGTATTTGTAATTTATTCCAATTTTAAAACTAATGTATTAATGATTGTATTTGTATTGGTGTTAGTGTGACGATGGTGGTGATAGCAATAGTGGTTAGCATTAGTAAGCATTTAGTTCGAAAAATATTTTCTACCTTTCAAAATTAAAATAAAATAAAAAAATTGTCCAAATAAGTTTGCTTTCCATTGATCAAAGGAAACGTTTTTTGTTACGTTTTCTAGAAAATGCGAAAATAACTTGTTGGAAAATATTTTCTACCAAAACAAACTAAACGCTAATTTCTAATTGCTTAAACCCCAAGAGAACAACAATCAAGAATACCCAAATCACTAAACAATTAGGAAGAAATATTGAGCAAAATAGAAAATGGGAAGAAAGAAGTAGAAGACAAACAAGAATATACTTTTCCTTGTTATGGAACTCCTACTAAACTAATAGGGGTGAAACACTCCTTCCTTTGCATGCCTAAATGTCTCTTTTTAAGAATTTGCCAACTTGTATCAATGCTCAAACAAGACAACCTTTATTAGGGAATTTATGCACCAACTTTAGTAGCCAGATCACATGGTCCAGTTGTTACTTTATAGTTGGAATTTATTCTTTATTTTATATTACAACTTAATTTTATGCAAGCTTTTTTTAATGCAAATTGCATATTTATTTATTTATTTAAAAATGCTACACAAACTCACATTTTTACCAATCAAACACAAATAAGTGAGTCTTACGTGTATTTATATATAGATTCCACTTCCTTGAATCTAGTAAGTAAGAAGATGATATACGAAATTTGAGTATTTATATTATTACTCTTCATTTTTATCATATCAAAAATGATCTCAAGCATGTGTGGTCTGATCAAATGCATGTGTGAAATCTATAAACAATTCTTAACAGCATGCTGAATCAATATAAATGTACTCTTCTACCAAAACATACTTCAATTCAATATCTTTAACAATTAAAAAATGCATAGCACATTGAGATAATCAAAATACAACAGTAATGGACTTTCAAAGCTAAAGAAAAATAATCACCACATCTTACATGGAACAATGAACAATTTTTTGTGAACTATAACCTCATGTGTCTAATTAGAAAGTCAATTTAGCTTACTTTACGAACAATAAAACTTTATAACTGGGGTTTCACTTAAAATCAGTAAATTCAATCTTCTCCCTAAATTATGCTTCATCACAGGTACTTGATGTCAACTCCACCATATTCTAACACTGCCACTCAGATTTGAATCAAGTTGTTCCAAACACAACTTGATGCAACTCTCTCTCTCTCTCTCTCTCTCCCTCTCTCTCTCTCTCCCTCTGTGATTATCAAAACTGTCAATTGCCATGTTAGACTTTGTATTGACTCCAAGATGTACACTAAAAGATAAAATTGAAAAGAAATAACTAACTATATGAAGATAATATGAAACACTTTAAAAAAAAATGCATCAACAAAAAGAAAAATATCCAACAATGCTACTCAATTCCATGACATGATTGGGTGTTAGTGATCATTTTCTATGCCTGAAATTGAAAGCAAACTTAAATATGTTTTTCAGAATATGATACCTCACTGCACTATATCAAGTCACTTGTGCAAACCTCTACAATTTCATGAAGTTATTTAACTTTTCTAGTGCTGCCCTTAAAGCATGAAGAAGAAGCCAGATATAGTACAAGGTCTATTCTCAAGTGTCAATTGTGTGATTGAGTAGGCCTCTTTTACTTGCTGGGAATTCTTCCAGAAGAAAGGCATTATGATTCTAGCATTCATCATTCCTTAAAAATGCCTCAACAAGGATCACCCAATGCACTTCTCAACTCACGCTTGACCTCTATGATCAATTTTATAACAAAATGTGAAATGTAGTGTCATGTGTACCGTATTAAAGGAAAATGGTCAAGAATTCCAAAAGAAAGTCAGCCAAAAAAGACATTGACTAACATGTAGATGCATTTTGCCCCAGATCACCACCATTAAGGAACGGATTGCCAAAACTTTGCTTAAGAGCTAAGAACATGATAAACAAAGACAATATGTAAAATCACCAGCTAGCAGTATGTGACACTAATACAGGTTTTATTTTATTTTTTTAAAAAAAGGTAAAAAATCCTCAAGACGGTTTTTCATCCCCCAAAATTTCAAAATAAACTACCCTTAGTCCTCAGAACTAAATTAACTAACTACATAAAACAAGAGCTATGATCAGATTAAATTTTTTTTTTTTTTTTTGTAATCGGACGTCCGGGCCAGCTTACGCGCACCTCGACTAATCCCAGAGAACCAATCCCATTGCTGCTAACCTACTTCCAAGAGTCCCATTTAAAGTCAGGGCAAATGCCCTGTATGGACATGGCTCCAAGGAGCTTATTGCTACTAGTGGATATTAAACCTAAGACCTAAAGGGAGCACACCCTAGGCCCCAAGTTTTGCCCACTAGGCCTACCGCTTGAGGTTTATGATCAGATTAAATATGAAGTATAAGCTTCGCTCAATCTCAAAAGATAAGAAGCCCTCAATCAGTAATTGCTTCCATAAGCAGGTTATATTCTGAGCTCAGATCTCGGTTTGGCTTTGGCTAAATAAACCAAAAAGCAAAAGCTAGTTTGTTTTCAGCTGAAAACAACTAAAAAGGCCAACTTTCCCACCAACAAAAAAGCTACTTTGTTAGCAATTACCAAACACATCAGTGTTTTTAGATTCTAAAAAAACAATTGCAAATCCCACCAACTCTTGCTTAAGTTACATGCCTAAACAATACACAACTTCCTATACAGCTTCTTGCAAGAGCATTTCCAACACTGTATTCCAATTTATATCATCAAGCTAGAAACAAAACAAGACATAGGCTAGTCACAAGGCTTCGCAACACAGCTCTCAAGTGAGGTTCAAGGTCAAAGAAAAAGTAATTAGATATGCAATAATCTATCACAATTCCATAGATTTACCTAGTCAATGCATGATCAAGGTCAACACTGGAACTCTCATCATTACCGAACAGTAGGAGTGCATATAAATAATAGTTAAGGATGCCCCACTGGCAGATTTCAATTGAACCATATATCAGTACAATTCTTGGAGGGATATCAATAATTATGTCAATTACCTCGTGTAACATGCCCCATTGGTACACCATGTTACCAAACCAAGTTGCAACTGAACCATGTCAGTGCAATTCTAGGAGGCATGATCAGACATGCCAATAATTACATCAATTAACTTGTGTAACATGCATACCCCACTGATAATGAGTTTGGAAGAGTAAGTGCACAAGTCAATGAGGCCAAAACAAGAATGCTTCTTAATCACATATCTAAATTTTGTTTTATACTGAAACTTAGAAATTAAAAATTGTGCCTACATCATTTAAATCACAAATAAATTAATACCTCGGGTCAGAACAAATTTTTCATTCCATCACTACAGTGACATTGCAGAGTTATTATCCAATTTTTAAACATGGCCGTGAAGCAGTAATTCAAGAGATAATCCTTTTGGCCTCCTTTGTAACATGACCTCCTTTAAACCATTTTCAACTAGATAGGGCTGACGTAATTAGTAAACCGACCTGCCAAACAACAAAAGTAACATGAATGTCAGTGTTCCACATTAGTAATATATGCCTGTTTTCAGTAATTTAAGCTATAGAATAGATCAACAGAATAAAATTGATAAGCTTGTTGATAAAAACAATTATACGTATCATCATTACAACCATTGCATGTACTTCCAGCTACAGTGGCTGCTAATAGACTCATTTAAAAGCCATGTATGCCAGTGGCATTCTAAATTGTTCTGTGTATTGTATATATGAGAAAAAAGTTACACCTCAGCCTGCAAGCTTACCCAAAGGCCATGAACCTAAGTAGCACAGACACAACAATACAAATAGACCGACAAGACGATTTTCTAAATATGCAAAACACGAAACGCTTGGGACAGGTTAATTTTTTATATTTTTATAAATTTTATCATATGTCTAGTATATAAATAGTTTATTCAAAGGTTAAAAATAAAAAATAAATAAAAATAGAAAAACAACAACAACAACATAACACTAAATTAAAAAGTCATATATCCTTCAAGAAATTATTCACGTAACACAATTTTATTCTAAAGAATGCAAAACAATTGTAGAATATTGAAATAAACATGATGTATTAATCTTATAAATATTTCAAAATATATTTTGAGTACACAAGTTGCATTTCGAAGGATACTATATTGTTACTATGAAGCATAGTTGTCAAATCGGGATTTGAATCGTGAATCGAAATGGCCTCGTACCGAATCGCGAATCGAAATGGCCTCGTACCGAATCGCGAATCGAATCGAATCAAATCGTGAATCGTAAAGATTCGGTCACTTTTTCTAAATTTCTTAGAAAAATATATCTACACCCTTGGATCAAAATATATTTTATGAATGTGAAATATTTAGATTTAAATCAATGAAAATATTGTTTTGAATGACAGTCACATAGTTTAATAGGTAAGAAGTTAACAAAGGTTCCTATGTAAGATCATCATTTAACCTTTTTCTTTTTTTAGATATTTTTTATTAACCATTCTTAATAAAGATAGTAAGTAAAGACAAACTCTCAATTTCCAAATTAACAATAATTTAACAACAATATTGATATTTAGACAATAAGCATAAATATTTTTCCAAGTAACAATGACCAAATAATAGAATTATTTAGGATCTTTTATTTTAAAACCTAAAACATTTTAAAAGGTATAACTGACCTCACTTATGTAATATTCAGCTATATTTAATTTAATAAAATAGCAATAGATAATTCATGGTGTAAGTTACTTTAATCTTAAAGAAGATATATTATGATTTTTTAAGAAAAAAATGAGAAGGTTAAAAACATATTGGAACTAACTAAATCTGATTGGATCCTATAAAAAAGTCCATGATCGCTAAAATAACAGCAAACCATGTGTATGTATTGGTTATTTTGGTACTAAACGTCATTAGAAGTTTTTAAGAATTGCATGAATCGTAAAAATGAATCAAATCGTGAATCGATTGTGAATCTTGTAATTCACTATAGATTCACTTTCAAAATAGATTCACCCATAGATTCGTATCAATTTTGAAAAAATCGTGAATTGAATCGCGAATCGAATTGCGAATCATAAGATTCTAATAACAAAGCTATGAAGGGATTCATCACATAGGTCATGTTCAAAGAAGTGTCTATAAGATGTTTGATATAATGGGTTTAAATTTTTAATTAAGAGAGGTTGAAGAATTGTCTGTCAGACACATTTTTAGGCATGTCAACAAACCGTCGTGTCCGACACGACATCCCTCCTCAATATAAGTGTTTGTGCTTCTTAGCCATGAACTTAGTGCGAACCCTTTAATCTATAAGAATTATGTCAGATTAGCGAAACTACCACTATGTAATGAGCTTTAAGACTTATGCTCACAACTTACAAGGAGTAAAAGGTTGTAGGCTACTTAGTAAATCATTCATTAGACAAAATCAAAGTAAGATTTAGAATTCTTTTGGGATACAGGGAATCTTGTTGTACCGATCATAGAACAAGCTGCCTGGTGTCATACCACAGGAGGTAAAATGGATTTTGCCCTACATAAAATTATAACAACGTGGATGCACTGCAAAAGTGCTCAAGGGTGTCATTATTAAAGATTACTAATCAAATTAAGGGAAAACTTTAATAAAATGATTCTAATGTCAACCATGCATTCAGGTACAGAATAAAATCCCAGCCAAAAACTACTTGTCCATAAAATGTATATATACATTTGAAGTTATCAAAATGAATGAGGGGTAGGATATAAAAGAATGGATTCATCAAAGCTAGTGGCAGTACCAAATGAAAAATAGACACAAATATCAATCAAATTAGTTTGGTTATATTGAAAGACCATAAACTGCACCAAGAAGTGATTTAGGCCTCGTTTGGCAACTCACTTTTTTAGTGTAGAAAATTTAATGTATAAAGAGAAATAGAGAATTGTATTATTGATTGATATTAATGTTATGGTTACAATGATTCCTATATATAGGAGAGGGTGAGTGTTAAGATGTTTGATATAATGGGTTTAAATTTTTAATTAAGAGAGGTTGAAGAATTGTCTGTCAGACACATTTTTAGGCATGTCAACAAACCATCGTGTCCGACACGACATCCCTCCTCAATATAAGTGTTTGTGCTTCTTAGCCATGAACTTAGTGTGAACTCCTTTAATCTATAAGAATTATGTCCGATTAGCGGAACTACCACTATGTAATCAGCTTTAAGACTTATGCTCACAACTTACAAGGAGTAAAAGGTTGTAGGCTACTTAGTAAATCATTCATTAGACAAAATCAAAGTAAGATTTAGAATTCTTTTGGGATACAGGGAATCTTGTTGTACCGATCATAGAACAAGCTGCCTGGTGTCATACCACAGGAGGTAAAATGGATTTTGCCCTACATAAAATTATAACAACGTGGATGCACTGCAAAAGTGCTCAAGGGTGTCATTATTAAAGATTACTAATCAAATTAAGGGAAAACTTTAATAAAATGATTCTAATGTCAACCATGCATTCAGGTACAGAATAAAATCCCAGCCAAAAACTACTTGTCCATAAAATGTATATATATATTTGAAGCTATCAAAATGAATGAGGGGTAGGATATAAAAGAATGGATTCATCAAAGCTAGAGGCAATACCAAATGAAAAATAGACACAAATATCAATCAAATTAGTTTGGTTATATTGAAAGACCATAAATTGCACCAAGAAGTGATTTAGGCCTCGTTTGGCAACTCACTGTTATAGCCTAAAAGTCAAAAAGTCACTAAAAAAACTAAAAAGTCAACAACATATACCAAAAAATCAAAGATTCCTTCTTCTCTCTACTTTTTGCACATCTTTTTGTAAAAAAACCAAAAAGTCATTCCAAACATACTAATTTTTTTGACCTCATATTTTAACCAAAAAATCAAAACATTACTAAAATAACATGTTCCCAAACAACGCCTTAATGTGTGTTGAAATCACTAGAAAGACATAAAAGCAAAAAAGAATCTTGGTCAAGACGTAACACTTTGTGATAAGCACAGAGCTAATGGCATAAATATTTTTTTATAGCCAACAGCAAGAAGTTGATTCAAGGCTTTCTTGAGGCAAGTTGAGCTTCCACAAAAGTTTTCCTTAAGACTCCAGCTGTCATTAGCATTTCATTCTCCAAATAATATACATTTTTTAATTTTCAAATGATTTACATCATGGCAAAACTAATTTACTACCTGATAGATCCTATAATTCATCTTAATTTTATCATTTGCTTTATTTTTCTTTGGAACGAACATAAGTAAAACCATCTTTGGAGAAAAGCTGCTGGTGGTTTCTGCTGCTCCCCAAACAAAGGAAGCCATGTTGGGCTTTTTCTTTTTTGCTGGGCCATGTTGGGCCCTTTTGAGAAACACAGAATTGCTTCAGCAAATACTTAGGTGAATTGTATTTGGGCCCCAAACATGCATCACAGGGAAAAAAAAGGGATTATAAAACAGTGCCAAAGTTACCAAAGTTGTAACCAACAAGAAAATTCGTCATCACTTGAGTTGATGGCAGTCCTTGAACAATGAACATGAACTTGTTGCCAATATTTGTGTCCAACAAGTCAATCATCAGAGCTATTTTTACTGGAAAACAAACTGTTGCTATTACCTTGGCTACAGTATCTTTAAACATTTCCCACAAAGTGCATGGATTCTATTTACAAAAGAGAAAAGTGGTTTGGGATTGTAGAACAGCCCAAAAACAGGTACCTATCATCAGATAAGCACATCGACAAGAAAAGGAAAGCCAAGCTTTGCCTTGCCCAGATCAAGTTCTAAAATATGAAGTTAGGCTCAAGCATGCTAAAATCTGACTGTCTGAGTAGGTACAAGGTCAGCAACTAGAGGTCACACAACTTTAAAGCTTGGCCTATATTAAGCCTACAGAATATCATAGCACCTTTGCATTCGAGTAGATAAACAACATATCCTCAAAATTCATAACTGAAAATCAAACTATCAAAATGTAAAACTAACTTTCCACCCACGAAAAAATTAAGCTGTAAGGTGATTAAGAGAGAACATGTTTGCCTTAACTTAACTAAAGCTACGACTTCCAATAGAGCCAACTAGGGAAAAATGGATCCATACAGCCAACCCCAAGTTCAGTATTAAATAAGTTATCCTTTTACGATTTATTTGAATCTCAAAAAGAGTTTAGGGTTAAAATTGCTTAGCAATGACTTCCATTCTACAATATTTTTAGCATTCTTCTTTTTTGTAATCCCATGAACAAAGGATTAACATATTACTTCACAAATTACATAGCATAACACTAACCGCTTATCCATACCCGAATTGGGTCACCCCTTATCCACTCAAACCCAAAGTCCTAACACTATGTTTGATTCGTGGATTTGGGTAGGGATTTGAAAAGTGAAAAGGAAAAGGAAAAGGAAATGTATGTAAAATTTAGCTTTCATTCACATTTCAAAGTTTCACAAAGACCACTTGAGCGAAGGGACAAAAATCTGGGCAACTAATGTAAATTCATAAACCAAACACAACCCAAAAGAACTAAACTGACAATCTGAGCTGATTTGGATCACTGGTGCCATACAGTTGGTTGCACCACAAGTCCGAATGCTTTTACACCACATAAAACAACTGAACTGGCCAAAATTGTTTCTTTATCATCATTATTCATTCAGGGAAGGCTACCGTGTGCACCCCAAGAAGGGTGTATAAACCTTTATCACAAAAAAGTATAACTCCGTTCAGGGTGCACACCATAACTTCGGAATTCATAACTTTTTTCAACACAAAAATCATAACTTCACATCACAAAAATTCATAACTTCCGTCACAAAACTCATAACTTTTCTTAATATTGTAGCATTATCATTATCAAGCCTCAAGGGAAGAATCTCTAATAAACATTGCAACTGATGAAATCAAACACATTTCTGAACAAGTGCACAAACATCACAATCATTCAGTCATTATTGACATATGAGAGAGAGAGAGAGAACCTTCAGTGGATGAACTGAGTTCATTGGGAAGCTTGGAGACAAGACAAGCGGAGGCGATTGCACTATGAACAGGGAGGAGAGAGCTCAAAAACATTGATTCACGTCGCAACCTTTTTCAAATTGAGATGAAATTCAATCAAACAAAGAGCAAAATTCAAAGAACAACAAGTACCAATGTCAAATTAAAGCAAGAAAATTCGAATTTATATTACCTTGAAGGAGAGCGAAGAAGGGGGTTTCGAGATTGGCGAAGAGAGCGATTAGATAGAGACAAAGGGCGTGAAATTGAATTCACTGAATTGAGTGTTCCGGACAGAGTAGTAGTGAGATATGAGGATCTTCGAGCAATCACTGAAACTGACATTTTCACTACTTCTCGAAGAACTGAGATTGAAATCGGGAGGCTACAACATCCCCATAAACCTCTGTTAAACCCCTAGAGTTTGATAGTAGAGGCACAGCTGCTATCGACTTAAAAAATGACAGCCCAATCATTGCAAATCAGTATCAATATTATGAAAAAAAATTATTAACTTCAATTATTGAAATTAGTAAAGTTATGATTTGAAATTATTTTTTAAAACATGTATTGATTTGTGATTTTTTCAATAATTAAGTTATAAAATGTCAAGTTGATCGAATATCGATCGACCAGTCCTTAAGCTTATCCACATAAGTGATTGCTCGTTAATGTAAGTAGGTTGACAGATGATCCAATAGATCAAGTCGAATTTCAAACTCAACATTTACGCTATGTTTGGATTGAGTGATTTGGAGAGAAAATAAAAGAAATTGAGAGATGTGTATTTTTCTTACTTGTTTGGATAATCTAAGTAGAGAGAAATAGAAAGAAATTGAGAGAAACTCATTTTTCTTTTGAGCCTCATTTTCAATCTTCTCATAAGTAGAGAGATTGAGAGAGAAAAGAAACCACTATTTTTATAATATAAATTTTGTCGCTATAAAAATAAAAGAAATAAAATGATTGAAAATATAAAAAGGTTATTTTGATAATATAACATAAAATAATTTCTTTTATTTTCTCTTAATGAAATCTAACCAAACAAGAAAGAGAGAAATCATAATCATTTTTTTTCTTTTATTTCTTCCTTATCCAAACAAAAGTAAGAAAAATCACAATTATTTCTTTTCTTTTCTTTTCTTTTCTCTTATTATTTAAATAATTATTTTTTTTCTTTTCTCTTTTAAGTTTCCAAACACAGTGTTAAGCCTAACCCTAATCTCACTCAAGTTGGGAAAAAGCCCAATGGACTACACGGGCCAAATGTTGAGGCTTACAATATAGAATCATTTTTTTTACATCTCAATATATTATGCTTTGTTGTGTTGTGAGGGGAAAAAAAAATGAAAGAGTTCAACCTTATAAAATCTTCTTTCTTCTTTTTCTTAACTTTTAAAGTTAAATTAAATTTTAAAGACAATAAATTATCAAAAGTAGGATATGTGAAATTTTATATGTTTAGTCTAAAAAATAAAAAATATATCATTTCAATTATTCGCGAAATTAAAAACTTGAGAAATTTGTACACAATTTTTTATTATTTCTTTTTTAGCAGGTGGCCCTCTTATGGGATGGTATAAGGTCTTCAATATATGCACTCGTTTGGCATAACTGGTTTTGGGATTAAAATGTTATTTTAGTTTATAAAAGATAAAATAGGTTAAAAAATTAATAAGATAAAATATTATATCTAAATCATAATCATTTTATTTTTTCTCTTAAAAAAGTCAAAAAGCTTATCTCAAACAAGATTTTTTAATCCCAAGCTAAAATAGTCAAAAAAGTTAAAAAGTCAAAAACTAATCAACATCCCAAACAAACCCTATGAGCCTTCATTTAGGATGCGGGTTGATTTTTTGGCTTTTTAACTATTTTAGTTTAGGGCTAAAAAGCCTCGTTTGAGTTGATTTTTTGATTTTTTTGACTTTTATAAAAGAAAAAATAAAATTATTATTGGTTATATATGATATTTTGTCCTTTTAATTAAAATAATTAATATTTTATCCTATATGACTATTTTAGTCCAAACTATATATGGACCAGATCAAAGTACTCTTATATAAATTTGAGTGATAGAAATTCTTTGTTACACCATCACCACTAGAGAAATGTCTAATATGGAATGGTCTAATTTCTCTCTGCCAGACAGGGATGGCAATGGATAACCTACCCTGTGGGTATCCATGGAGAACCAACCCAAATACATAGATTTTTCCCTTTTTTTCTTATCCATGGGTAGGGTATGTGATATTCTTTAAATATCCACAGGGGACGGGTTGGGGATGGGTACCCACTAATTTCCCCATATGTTGCTTCTTTTTTTTCTTTTTTTTTTTATTTTTTTTTATTAAGATCCACAACCAAAACTAAATATACATCCAATCTTTTTTTATTATTATTATTTTTATTTTTAAGGTTCACAATTTTAAAGTCATAAATAAAAAAATGATTACATTATGGAAAAAATTTGCTAAAAACATAAGAAAATCTGAACAAAAAAGTCTGTATTTTTAGACGAATTTTCTTTCATCTTTAGTTAATTTTTTTCCATATTTATTTAATTTATTTGTTAGATGCTTTTAAATTAGATGCATTTTATTTTTTTCAGGTAAGTTTTTCATTTAAAACAAAAAAACAGAAAACGAAAAAGATAGGTAAAACTCAAAATTGCGTTAACCAAAAAACTCGAGTGGCTGCTGTACGGCCAAATAGGTCCATTTCGGAATCCACTTTAATTATCTAAACCGTTTACATTTTAAAATATATAAAATATAATATATTTATAAAAAATCAATTTAATCAAATATCGTTAACCCTTTCATCCATTTACATTCGTAAATAATAATTATGATTTAAAATATCAAAATGTGAGTTGATGAAATGATTAACGATATCCATTTAATTTAATTTTTTATAAATATATCCGATCTTTCGCATATTTTTGCCAATTTAATTCCCTCCCCCCCCCCCGGGTTTGTTTCTTTTCTTTTTTTTGGGTGGGGGGCGCAAATTGAAGAACAGTGACATAGACAGATCTTTTAGGCTACCTCTATCGAGTTGCATATTCATCTAAATGTACTTGCTAAAGAATATTGAATAGTTTATTTTTGGAAGATTTTAGGGAGTGGAGGAGTTTTTGATGTCTATGTAAGTTGGTAAGTATGTGGGAGGGGGAAAATGCTTGACGCATGAATGAATGAATGACGGTGGGGTTCCCCCCCCCTCCTTTTTTTTTAATATATTTTTTTTTTTTTTTTTTTTTTTATTGATGAGTAGGGAAATTTCATCAATGTAAAACTTCTAATCCATTCTTCTTCTTCTTTTTATTTTTATTTTTTAATGTGAAAAAAATTTAAAAGTTATTGCAACTTGCAACAACACAAGAGATTAAGCAACCCAGTTGAAAGGAAGCTTATCCTTCAAATGACTTTAATCTGCTTTTGAAATTCAAATTTAAAATACTGCATTGACTTGATTCCAAATCTATTCATTTTCAATTCCATAAATTCACATACAACCTTAGAGTAGAATCTTAATAAATCAAAAACTGTGAATGGCTGGATTTCATTGTCCATTGTACTTCACTGTCTATATGATGCCTATAATGTTCATTATTTTCACATGAATTGACTATCTTTATTTTCACCAAGTGTGCATATCTCAAAAGTCAATCCTTAAAATTAAAATGGAAATTAACTAAAATATGAGAAGTATTACATCAAATTCAGCAATTAAAATCCAACAATACACCAAGAAGAAATAAAATACAACCGCAATAATAGTGGAAAGATAAACACCACAAAGGATATCAAACTGATCTTCACAAGAGTTTAATCCACAACATTACACCACAAAATAGTCTTACACAACCACCAAGTCTTTTTTTTTTTTTTGTCAAAGATAGAATGTTAGTGTACGAGCACGAAAATAATCTTTTCGTATAATCCTGTTGATTAAGTTTGCACTTTTCCAAACGTCGTCACTTTACTACTTGAAAACACAAACGTGAGCTAGCCGGCGGATGTATACTAAAAACTTCTCTAATGCCTAAGTCAGCAAATAGACAATAGACACAAAAGCTCTGTATATTCTAAAGTAAAAATTGTGATACCTGTACATAGATCCTGTCATGAGCTTTTATAGATTCTACTTGGCACAATCCTAGTAGGACTCCAACTCTCCTCAGCAGAGTCCTCTTAAGAATCACACGCATCGGGATAATACATATCCTGATGACACCCTTCTCACTATCAACCCAAATGAGATGGCCCAAACCTCCTTACCTCGGCTCGATAGCAGCTCAACTGAGCTAGGAAGGCCTTGCCCCACGCCAGACAGAACCAGGGCAGTCTTTAGCCGAGATAACCCAAGTCTTCACAACCACCAAGTCTTTTTTTTTTTTTTGTCAAAGATAGAATGTTAGTGTACGAGCACGAAAATAATCTTTTCGTATAATCATGTTGATCAAGTTTGCACTCCTCCAAACGTCGTCACTTTACTACCTGAAAACACAAACGTGAGCTAGCCGACGGGTGTATACTAAAAACCTCTCTGATGCCTAAGTCAGCAAATAGACAATAGACACAAAAGCTCTGTATATTCTAAAGTAAAAATTGTGATACCTGTACATAGATCCTGTCATGAGCTTTTATAGATTCTACTTGGCACAATCCTAGTAGGACTCCAACTCTCCTCAGCAGAGTCCTCTTAAGAATCACACGCATCGGGATAATACATATCCTGATGACACCCTTCTCACTATCAACCCAAATGAGATGGCCCAAACCTCCTTACCTCGGCTCGATAGCAACTCAACTGAGCTAGGAAGGCCTTGCCCCACACCAGACAGAACCAGGGCAGTCTTTAGCCGAGATAACCACTCTGAAACCCCGCACCATCGTACCCCGATCCTGCTTTGATATAACCACCTCGATTGAAGCCTTGGGCCGAATACTCGTCCAGTCCACGACCGAGCTTAATCCATTCTCATTTATACCCGCAACGCAGCCCAATGACCAAGAGTGAACCTAGCTCGGTCCATTCAATAGATGGCCTTAGCTTGGCCTTATTTAGACATAAATTGCTATCTCAATTGCCCCTTAATTCCATCTGCAGTGTATGATTAGGATTATTCTTCTCCAGCCGAGCTAGATGTACAAGCCTCTAACCAAGCTCAATATTTTCGGGCTCCCCATTCGCTCGGTCCAGAAATGTCTTGTCAGTTGCTCTACACGCCGTTCCACTACTCAAGCACGTCTGAAACGTTTATTTATTCCTCTAGACACGTTGCATGCCGCCACTAGTCAAGTACACCTATTACAGCCGTCTTTGTACCATGAAATTTGAACAGCCCGCCCATTTTCGCACATATACCAAAACCCATTTCTTGAACCAAAGCACGCTTACTGTTCATCT